CCCCTCCCCCATCCCTTCCCCTTCTCCCTCCTTTAGTTATTAAACTTTTGCTCTTCTTTGTCTCTGAGCTTAGTATCTTGAGTTACCACCCTATGTCTGTGCTTTCCTACACCTCATCTTGTAAGCAATGTAAGCAATTGCCCCTCACTCTGAAAGGCCCATCTGCTTTCTGCTGGGGTCCAGACTCAGTTGTCCCCTTGCTCACCCTCACGGGGAGTGAGGGGTGCATCACCAAGCAGGATTTCCCACAGGCAAAATGTGCCCAGGGCTTTTTTCCCACGTGAAACCCATGGTGGCACGTAATGAAGAATGCACCATTCTTAAGATTCCGACCCAGCGGTCACATTCATAAGGATTTTCTCCTCTGTGAATTGCCTGCTGTGCAATGAAACGTGTACGAGCTTAGAAAACAGAGGTTCCCACAGTGACTGCACCCCGAAGGCTCCCCTGCCCGAGTTTATGACATGTAATGAGTCTCCTGGCTGTAGGTTTTCTAACTCTGCACCCCAGGGGTTCAGGCTCTGGTAATGTTTCCCTTCTAGAGTAAGAGGTGTGCTATCTTTAATCCTTTTTTTTCCTCTCCTCAGATTAATTTCTTTCACAGCAGTTGCCGCCACTATGAATTCTGGTGTGTGATGGAGTTTGAGTTGCGATCGAAAGCTTTCACTTGCAGGTCCCGGTCAGAGGGTTTCTCTCCAGTGTTGGATGAGGGGCAGCAGCATGGTTCTGACATCTCTATCAGTGAGGTCACTTCCTTCTGGTACAGGAATCAGCCAAGTCTAATTTAGGGTTCCAATTCCTCCTAGGTGCATCCCACATGGATGGGATTTTAGTTTTTGAAGAAATAAGTTTCCAGGTTAAACCAAAATGTTTCCCACTGTTGTCACCTTCCTCATGGATCCCCTTGGTTCGGGTTTTCCTCTGTGTGTGTGTGTGTGTGTGTCTGTGTGTGCAAAGGCACACTTCTTTTTCTGTCATTGAATGACATCACTGTTGTCACCTTCCTCATGGATCCCCTTGGTTCGGGTTTTCCTCTGTGTGTGTGTATGTGTGTGTGTGTGTGTGTGTCTGTGTGTGCAAAGGCACACTTCTTTTTCTGTCATTGAATGACAGACCATCCTCTTTCTGCGTATTTTTTTCTAAAGTAGAATAGATTGAAATTTTTTTTGCAGATCTTTCCACTTATGTAAGGAAAAAAAAAAACCAATACATCTTCAAAACTGTTGCCATGGAGTCACCTCCTTCATCCCAGCCACTCTTGAGTATTACAGGGATCTGAAATGTGAATATCCTCTGTCCTTCTCTACCCCACTCCTGGTTCCAAGAAGGAACATGCCGGACAGTGCTTTCTTCCTTGTATTCATGACTTGCCTGCTCCTTCCAACCTAAAATTCACATCTTGCTTGCTGTCTCGCTGCCCTCCGGAGACCCGGTGTTGTGGGTCACCTGTATCACATCTGTAAAGGGCCTGTGTGCTGCTTCTGTTCCCTCTGTGTGGAATCCATAGCTGTGCATGTAAACGTGACCGATTCCTAGTCTTTCTGGGGTTTCTTGGGAAAGAGCAGAAGCCCATGGGATTGGAGCTGGTTCACTGAACAGCTAGGTTGAACCCTCTATATTGCTACACAGTGTCTGTGGTCTTCGAAGGTGGCGGCATCATGGGGGTCTTCTCTTCTTTGGGTACAGTGGCCAAAAACAGATTCAAATCTCCAACCAAGGCTCTGTCCTGAAGTCTTGGGGCTGAGAGGTGTCTTCTCCAGAAAGGCTCTTTCTTCTGACCCATAAGAATCAGGATATTTTTCTGTTGAGCTGAGACCACCACTCTGTAGGCCTTCAGCTTGGCAGTGGAGTTCTGCAGCCCACTGAACAGCTCACCCTGTTCACAGTGCCACACGCTGCTCCCGTGTGGTAAGGCCAGACCCAGATGGTCAGGTGGCCTCAGATGCACTTCCTGTCTTCCGACGGACTGCAGATGAAGCTGTTGCTAGGCTTTCTGCTACTACAAAGCCTGGCTTGCTTTTTGCTTTTTCTACAGCCGCTGACTGTGCTTTTTTTATTTTTTTACCATTCTTCCAGAATCTACCTATTGCCTCCTTGAAGCCTCTCTGGCCTTCTCTTGCGGGCAGGTCCCCAAGCCAGTGTCACACGTCTTAGATTTAGTTATGGAAGCATTCTGTTTCTTGGCATTCATTTTGGCCTCTGTTGTCTCTTGCTGTGTAACAAAGCAGCCCAACTGGGAACGAGTGAAAAAGCACTTTCATTTCCTGCTTCCTGTGTGGTGGTGTAGGTTGGCTGCGTTCACCACCTACTGGCTGGATTTCTGTAGGTCCTCCGTGCAACCAGAGTCAGGTAGACGTGGGACTGAAGGCAGGTGATGGCTTAATTGGGCTGGAATGTCTCCAATGGCTTTTTGCATTCCTAGTGCTTTGTCGCTTTTGCATGTGGCTGTCTGTCCCTCCAGCGGGACAATCAGACTTCTTACATCACATCTGGGCTCCAGAGGGCACCCAGAGGCAGGAGCTGCAAGGCCCTCTTAAGTCTTAGGGCTACAGTCTGTTCCAGCATCAGCTCCCCCGCCATTGTGAGGTTGAGTTGAGTCACAGGACTGGCTGAGAGCCAAGGGAAGGCTCTGTACAACAGCACAGATCCCAGGGTTGTGACTTCTTGGAGCCACCGCTGACAACCAGCTACCAAGTACTTGTAGTGAACACCGCTGCTCCCTGACTCCTACTTCCTCCCTTCGCATCCTCTCCTACATCACTCTCAACTCTTTCTTAGCGCCCCTCAATGATTCACTTTTCCAAGTTTCTAAATTGCATAGCTATATTGTAATTTTTAGTATTAGATGCTATCTATGGGCTTTGCATCCTGCAGTTTAGTTGTTTTTCACCTGGAGCTCTTTCCAAGTCCGTTTGTATTTCTCACTATTGGCCATGGGTGTGTCACAGCGCCCGCACGTGGATTTATTCAAGCGCTCTCCCAGGGGTTCATGCTTAAGTTGTTTCCAGACTTTCCCGACGCCAGCACTGATGGAGTGGGTCTGATTATTATCCTGGCCACTGTGGAGCCTGACGCCCCTCCCACGGCCCCTCCTCCGCTCACATCCCCGTGGAGAAGCCTTGTGACTCTGTTTCCCTTGCGCAAGATTGGCACCATTCATTGTGATCCATCTTTGCAACTTTGACCAGTTTGATGGGTAGAAAATCCGCTCACATCCCCGTGGAGAAGCCTTGTGACTCTGTTTCCCTTCCGCAAGATTGGCACCATTCATTGTGATCCATCTTTGCAACTTTGACCAGTTTGATGGGTAGAAAATGATGCTTTGTTTTGCTTAGTTGAATGGTTTAAAATTTTTAAAAAATCCCTAGTATAAAAATTTCTTCAATAAAATGTAGCATTTAGGAAAGGGCTGCGTAACCCTGGCAATGAGCTAAGAAGCAGAGGTAGGACCTGGCTCTTACCTGGGCCCCACACTTACTACTGGCTTCGCGAACTCTTGGGCTGTCTGCCTCTTACCTATCAGAAGAAACCACTCACAGCTTAGCTCCCAGGAAGCCTGATACCCTGCAGGCGAAGCACAGAATCAGTGTCCGCACAGGAGGCCACATGGCTACACCTCTGTGGTCCCTGGAGCCCCTCAGAACTCGGTTTAAAAGCCAGAGGTGAAGTTTGGCATTTTCACGTGTCAGGCAGGGAGACTGAGACCTCACGAGGGTCGACCAGTTGCCTGAGGTCACATCCGCTTACTGCCAGGCCTGGGCCGAGGACCAGCCCCCTGGGCTTCTCACTCGAGGCTCTGTCTCCCCTCCTCCCTGTACTCCTCACGTCAGCCAGTCGTGTTTGTGGATAAATCCCAGGAGAAGAATTCTGCCCATAAGAAACCCAGAATTGTGTCAAAGGCTTCCAGCACAAAGTGCAAAGCAGGGCTCTACGAAGCAGAAGGGGAGACTTTGCCAAGGACACCTGGCTGCCAGACCGCAGGAGGAGCCTAAGAGCGACGTGGACTTTGGGTCAGTAATTTTCCTTCAGGCAGATCTCCCTGGGCAGTGGACAGGGTGAGGAGCTGCGGACTCCGAGTGACAAAGGGCAGCGGATCGCAGACGTGGCATCTCTGCTGTCACAGGACTGCTGTCCCCTGCACAGCTTGTCCAGGCAGACACTGGATCCAAGAGCAGCTCTGGAAATCGATCAAAACACGCAAGGCAGAACTTCACTGGCTTAAATGGTTAATGATTCGTGTGACAATTTCACTGGGGTGGGACGGTCTGACCTTTCATTTTGGAGAATGTATAATTATTAATATTTTCCCCCTCGGCAGTGAGTCACTTTTTGTTCCATTAAATTAAATGAATTTGAGGGTTGTGCTGAACATCTAACCATTATGCAGTCACAGACCTGTAGCACCAGACAGACCTTGGTCTTTTTCTCTTCAGAAGCAGATTTACCCATTGTGGGGGAGTCTATCTTGTCAGATTCACCTCTGGATATGAGGCAAACATTTTATACTTCAAGTTCTTGATGTTTTCTCATAAACACATCTACGTTTTCCTTTTGAAATGGCTTAAACTTTCAAATACTTTAGCAACTTACTTTTTATGATGAAATGGTAGAAATCTTTGTTTCTAGCAAGGTCCTACTAATCACATTATTCTGCCATGATGGAAATAGCCCAAGCTTCTGGCCTGGACCTGTCCATGCATCCGGGCTTTGCCCCTTTCTGGCTGTGTGACCCCTCCAGAGTTACTGCTTCTCTGAGCCTCCGAATGAACATCTGGGTGGGGTTGCTGGCTGTGTGGTTTTGAAGATCGGTCAAAGGGAGGAAATGACATGATCGTTTCAGATCTACACAGATGTTCCACACTGAGCCTGACGTGAAGCAACTTGCAAGGGGCCCAGGTCGATGTGGGGACTTGAACTTGGGGGCTTCTGTGGGCGGCATGTGCTGGAGCCATTCCCTCAATTTCCTGCTTGGCCCTCTAACCCTGGCTCCCTCTTCTTTCTGCCTGTCTCTCTCCCTCTCACTTAGAATTATTGTGATAGCATTAGGTTTTGAGTCCCCCTGAGGTAAGTCACCTGGATTGATTTTCTGAGGCTGCCATAAAAGAATTCCACAAGCCAGGTGGCTTAAATCCATAGGAATCTATTCTCGAAAAGTTCAAGAGGCCAGAAGTCTGAATTATGTACTCAGCAGGCCCATATCTGCAGGGGAGGGTCCTTCCTGCCTGTCCCAGCCCCCCGTATGGTCAGCAATCCTTGGTGTCCCTTGGCTACTGGCTGAATCATTCCAGTATCTGGCCCTGTTTTTCCCCAGGGGACTATCCAACTCCCTCTCCCCTCTCTCATAAGCATTTGGTCATTGGATTTAGGGCTCACCCCTATCCAAGATGAGTTCATTTGAGATCCTTAACATAATTAGAGCTTCAAACACTCCAATTCCAAACAAAGTCATATCCTGGGTTTCTGAGTGGACATGAATCTTGCTGTTTCACCCAGCAGACCACCAAGCTTTCTCTATGTGGGCTTCCAGGCTCCAGCACAAGACCTGGGTGCCATGACTACAGTTCCCTTGCATGGTACTCATGTCTGATGAATGTATCAGACCACTTAAGATGAAAGTGAAAATTTGGTCCCTGCATTTCAGTTATATCCAGCTTGTCAGAGGAGAAAGCACATTTATCACATTGATTTATAGTGTGAAAAATAGAATCAATGTGTTACCGCTGAATGGTGCTCACAAAAGCCCAAGTTCCTGAGTAGAGGCTTTGCATAAAACCAGACATTAAGATTTTGGTACTGGAGCAAGACCCAAGCTGCAACAGGTAATGAGTAAACTGGCCAGCTTTTTGGGGTTATTCTGCAGTCGATGTGGAAACATGGGGTCAGGTGGGGGCCGTGGTGATAGAGAGGTGCTATACAATAAGACAGGCCCTTGCCTTGCCTCCATTTTTTTTTCCCCACAGAATATTTTGTTTTGGAAATGGAAGTTTGTGCTGTTGGGCTCCTGTCCAATGTGTCAAAATGGTTTGTGGCTGTTTGAACTGTGTGACCTTTCAGGAATGTTCTGTTAAGTTCTGCCCCCTCACAAGAAGGTTCTGTTAAGCTCCACCCCATCTCAGAAATGTTCTCTAACTGCCCCTCTGCTTCAGGCGTGTTCTGTAACTCCGCCCCTTGCTTCAGTGAGCATGCTCAGCTACCCTGTAGATCCCCATATAAAAGGAGTCTCTCATTTCTGGTAGAGAGCTCAGACTCCTCTGAGCCTGCCAGGGCTTGCTGGCATAATAAAGGATTTTTCTTCACCTCTTCAGCTGACCATCAGATTCTTGAGTCTTCAGATTATGAGAGTTGTGACCCAGAGCTGCCACACTGAGCTGTAAAGCTCAGCTGCGACACTGAGCTGTAACACTTGGCTTTAGTACTGAGCTGCTCTGCTCTGCTGCAACAGTGGGAACTCTGGGTCGAGCACTCTGGGAGCAGTGTCCTGGTGTTCCTTCTCTCACCTAGTCACACTCCAGCCCACGAGAGGGGCAGGGAAACCCCACTCATTGCCTATCTGACATGGAACTGGGTATTTCTCATGACGATTTCAGCACAGCTGTCACCTGATGGATTTGGAGCTGGTGTGATTCCAACCTATGACTTTATCATGAGTGATGAAACCTGGAGCTTTGGTCAAGCCTGCTCTTTCCTGACATAAACATCATTTTCTTAATCACAGTCATCAGTTCTTTGGCATCTTCTATGTGCTAAGCTGTTAAAGTCACATTGTTCTTTTTGATTCTAACAATGATCCAGTGGTGCAGGTACCATAGTTATCCTCATTTTACAGAAGGGGAGACTGAGGTTCAGGGAGGGGAAGCAGTTTCTCAAGGTCACTCAAAGTCAGCACCTCCCCAAGTGGACTTCATGCCCCAGCCTCTGTGTTAAATATGACGAGTGTGAGCTTCCTGGGATAGTACTCGGCACCAGCGGTTTATTCTTCAAACTTGTGGTCCTATGAGTGTCTCCACTCACTTGTTTCCTGTCTTTGGCCAGTTACCTAACCACTCCATGCATTGGTAAAAGGAGATTACAGCTTATAACTCCTAGGGTAGGAAGAGGGTTTAAATAAGCACAAAACTAAGTGCAAACAGGTACTTTAAGAAAACTAAAAACACTCATTTTTAAATTAGTGCCTATTAGTAATACAGAAGAATGATACTGGTACATTCTTATAACATGTTTTGGTTATTTTCATCTTGATGCACAGTGCGATCCAAACATACACTTAATGTTTAAAGTTCAAAAAAATTGATTACAAAAAACAAAAAACAAAAAAATTGATTACAGTAAAAGACACATCACTATTAGCCCCTCTCATAAAATTTCCCCTTATTTCAAACACACCCATCCCATCCTTCCTGCCACCCTGAAGCAGCTCTGGAAGTCCTCTTTCATGAGTGTCTGTAGTTGTACTGTCCTGGCTGCCTCATTTCCTGAATTCGTTCAAAACATTTACCTTTCATGGTCATTTTGACTTGGAGGAAGTCACAGAAGTCACACGGTGCCAGATCCTGCGAATGAAGTAGATATTTTTTATTTGATAGAAATTGCCATGAGCAATCAATCAATGAGGGGAGATAATAAAACAGGGTAAATGTTTAAATTAAGAATTTATTATTGTAACAGGTACATTGCCATTAATCCCCCTCAAAATTCTCTAAGTATGCCCCTTACACTTACCCCATCACTCGTGGTAATGTTTTTTACCCTACATTTAAAAGAATTTAAGTGTTCAATGTACCTTTTAGTTAGTTACCCCTGATATATTTTTAGATTGCTCATCTGAGATGAAATATAAGATGTTTAACTTTCTGAGTCTGGCTTCTTTTGCTTAATATGATGGTCATCCATTGTCTTGAAAAGGGCACGATTTTGTTTTTCTTCACTCTGGATAGTGTTTCATGGCGTCTATACACCACATGTATCCATTCATGTATTAATTTGCTTATAGGCAGTTTCCACTGCTTCACTGCTGGGAACTGTACTGCTATACACAAGTGTGCATCTCCACAGGGCATAGTACAGCTGGGAGTGTAGTGTTTTGGGGAATTATTCATACTGAGTTGCATAGTGGTTGTATTGGTTTGCATTTCCACCAACAGTGTGGAAGTGTTTTTCTCTCCCCACATCCTCACTAGCATTCATTATTTTTTGTACTCTTAATGATAGTGGTGTTCTCCCTGGGGTATGACAGGATCTTGGTGTAGTTTTGATTCACGTTTCCCTACTGGCTAAAGATATCGATCACTTTTTCACATATGTATTGGCCATTTGTACTTCATCTGAGAAGTGTTTATTTAATTCATTTTCCCACTTATTGATGGGGCTGTTTAGGTTTTTAAATTAATTTTTTAAGTTCTTTATATATTCTAGACATTAATCTTCTATAAGAAGAGTTTTTAGCAGGGATTTACTCCCATTCTGTAGGTTGTCTCTGTACTCTTATTTCTTTTGTTGTGCAAAGCTTTTTAATTTGATGTAGTCTTATTTGTTGATTTTTGATACCATTTTTTGTGCCATTGGGGTTTTATTCAGAAAGCCTTTGCTGGTGTCTATGGCTTCAACTGGTTAACCTAGGTTTTTTTCTAGCAGTTTTAAAATTTATGGTTTTATATGTAAATCTTTGATCCATTTTGGTTTGACTTTAGTATAGGGAGAGGGGAGAAGGAGGGAGAGGGAGAGAGGGAGAGAGAGAGAGAGAGAGAGAGAGAGAGAGAGAGAGAGAGAGAGAGAGAAGAAAAAAAGGGGGAGAGGAGAGAGAGGTAAACCTAGTCCCAATCTTCTACAAGCAGATAACCAGTTTTTCCAGTGCCATTTGTGAAACAGGCTGTCTTTTCTCCAGTGTGTGCTTTTGGCCCCTCTGTCAAAAATCAGGTTGCCCTAGGTGCTGGGGTTTGTTTCTGTGTCTTCTGTTCTATTCCATTGGTCTACACGTCTGTTTTTATGCCAGTGCCATGTTGTGTTTATTGCTATGGCTTTGTAGTATAATTTGACATTGAGTATTGCATTGCTTCTAGCCTTGCCTTGTTGTTTAGGATTGCTTTGGCTGTTCTAATTCTTTGGTGTTTCTATGTGAGTTTTAGATTTGTTTTTTCTGATTCTGTGAAGAATGTTTGTATTTATATTAGTTACTTTTCTCTTATTGCTGATACAAATTAGCTGACACCCACAGTTAAAGGAGGAAAGGTTTATTTTGGCTCATGTTTTATAGAGATTTCAGCTCAAAGTCTGCTGGCTCCAAGGTAGGCTGGCATCACACACAGAGGAGAAACGGTTCATGGCAAAGCAGGGCAGGAAGAAGGCAGCAAATCAGCAAGCAGCAAGTGGCAGACAACCACAGCAGGCCTCTTTCTGACTTTGTATTCCATCCAGGCCTCCCACCTTAGGGCGGGCAGCCCTCACACCCAGGGTGGGCCTTCCCATTATCCACTTCTGAAACTATGCCAAACCAATCAGTGGGCTGACTCAGTAGTCACACACCTTTGATCCCAACATGATACAGTCCAGATCCAGCCACCTCTGAAAAGCCCTCCTTCGTCCTCATGAGGCTTTGGGGGGACATCTAGACATAATCCCTAACAGTATTTTAATAGAGATCACATTGAATCTGTAGATTGCTTTAGTAATATGGCCACTTTGACAATATTAGTTCTGCTGATGAATGAACAAAGGCGGTCTTTCCATTTTCTGTCTTTCTTTTTCAATTTCTTAAGTGTTCTGCAATTTTTATCATAGTGGTCTTTTACCTCCTTAATCAGATTGATTCCCAGATGTTTAATTTTTTTTTGGAGCTATTGTGGATGGAATTGTTTTTCTGATTTCTTTCTCAGTGGATTTACTATTGATGAATTGGAAAGCTTTTGATTTTTGTGTGTTGATTTTGTTTTTATTTTATTTTATTTTATTTATTGGTACAATCTAGGTATACAATACAATTACATTCATTATTGGGATCCTGTACCTTTACATGACAGGTCTTGATTCTCATTTTTTCCCCTTGTCCCTGCCCTCCCTTCACCCCCTCCTCCCCTCCCCATTTACAAACACTTTATTTCCATTTTTTCATTTTCTCATATTTTTCCTCTCCCTTATTACCTTTCCCCCACCCTTCCCACTTTCCCTACATCTTTAGTGCTTTACTTCCTATTTCACATTATTAATTATCTCATTAGGGTCTTGTGTACTATTATAGTTTTTCACACCAGGGAAACTATTCAGTATTAACACGTGTGGCTTATTTATTTCACTTAAGAGTATATCCTCAATATGTATCCATTTTCCTATGAATGACTCTAATTTCTCATTCTTTATGGCTGAGTAGTATTCCATTTTATAGAAAAACCACATCTTCTTTATCCAGTTTCCAACAGATGGGCAAATGGGCTGTTTCCAAGTTTTAGCTATTACAAACTGAGCCACTATAAACATTGGTGTCCATATATCACTGTGGTATGATTCTTTTAATTCTTTTGGACAGATACCCAGCACAGGGATGGCTGGGTCAAATGGAACCTCTAGTCCCAGCTCTTTGAGGTATGTGTGTTGATTTTGTATCCTGCCACTTTGCTGAATTTGTTTATCAGGTTGAAGAGGGTTTGGTGGAGTTTTTAGGTCTTCTGTGAAATGGGCCATTACACCCTAACAGATACTTTTGAAGCGAAGGTAGAGTACGTTTTAAAAATGTTTCCAGCAACAAAACGAAACACCCTGCCAAACAGATGCTCTTTGTTTTTTGCATTTCCCCTCAGTGTACCAGTGTAAGGTGAGGTGGTGTCCCTCGATCAAGGGAAAAGAGCAAATGTTATCTTTGCTGGGTGGTCAGGGCTGTTCCTGCTGTGGAATGCAGAGCTTATGGAAGGCACCAGCATCAGAAGCTCCAGAGTCTTCAAGAAGGGAAGCCTTGGGTTAACACAATGGCTTCTCCTTGAAATTTTAAGATGGGAAGTCCTAATATGATTAGGGGGTTGAAGTTTCTATTAAGACTCAGGGGCAGGAAACAGAACGAGTTCCAGGAAATTTAAAAAAAAAAAAAAGCACTCTAGGGGCAGAGTTGTGAGATTCAGGAAATAAAAGTGTATTTTGTTCAAATCATTTCCTTTGTAGAGTTGACAGATATAATAAAAGAATAATAATGTTGGAAGTACTGGGAATCGAACCCAGAGTTTTGTGTGGTGACAGCTATCCCACTGAGCTATATACCAACTCCCTTTGCTATTTTGAGTTCCCCACGCTGTAAACTCATGATGCTGTTTCTCAGGCTCCAAAGTAGCTGGATTGCAGGTGTGCCCCACCTTGCCAGACAAACATGAATGTGTTTTTGATATGAATATGTCTTGTAAAATATTTGGTTTATGCTCATACAAAATTATAGGTGGCTTACCTTTAATTCAGATCGAACTGAACACTCTAGTTTATTTTTACCCAGCGACCTATGGAGGAGAACTGTGAAATAACTTCTTGGTTGGGTCTGATGTAGGACTAGGAATAGCAACTGGAAACCTGCTGAAAAGGGAAGAGAGCTATCAGAGGTCGGGGGCTGGGGGCTCTGGAGGTTTGAGCAAGTTTACAGGGCCTGGCCCCAAATGCACTGGGGTCTGAGCTGCTTGGGCTGAGGGATACTTCCTGGATGTGCTCAAACCGGGTATCAGAGAGCTTGCACCTGTTTGTCCTTGGAGACAGATCTAAGCAGCACTGAGCATCAGTATCAGCATAAGCACCCAGGGCTGGGGTGGCTGGAGTGGTCTGGACTCTTACTGGTTCTAGGAAGTGGGGTGTTGACTGTTAAATTCTGGGGCGGCATATCATCTCACTCCTCTGCTTCTTCTTTTCTCTAAAAGGGAAAGACCTTTTAACCAACTGTATTGAGATATACTTTATTATCATAAAATTAACTCATTTCAAGTGTGCAATCAGCAATTTTCAGTAATCTCATTGAGTTGTGCTGCCTTTGCTTTCATTCCAGTTTTGGACCTTCTCTTGCCCATAAGGTCCTTTGGGCCTGATGACCATTAATCTTTACCCCACCCCAGCTGATCTACTTCTGTCTCTAGGAAATTTCCCTTTCTGGGCCTGTCATGGAGAAGAAGTCACACAAGATCAAGTCAGTTTTGAACACATAAAGGTCCTGGGGCAGGAGTGAGCCGGGCAGACCAGAGTCTGGTAAGCAAGGAGGGGTTGTGCACGGGAGAGCTGGGCAGTGGCCCGCTGAGCTGCTGGGGTTCAGAATGCGACAGGAGACACTGAGGTGTGCTCTGCTCTGCTTCCTGGTTTTCAGTGATGCCCTGGCCGCTGTGTGGAGAACAGATGTCGTGGAGTTCAGGTGGGTTCTGACCAAGGAGGCCAGCGCCTGCTTTAGCTCCCAGCCCCATGGAAGGGCACCGAAATCCACGTTGGAGACAAGGACCACTCTCCTGAAGGCGGTTCTGGCCTCAGAAGGGTGAGTAGCACCCCTGCAATGACGGAGTCCCAATCTTCATTTGCCGCTATCAAATGTCCCAAGTTTCATGTGGGAGGTGGAGCACTACCTGCCCGTTCAGTCCTGTCCTCTGAGGAGAGGGACAGCACTGGGAATCTGTGTTTCTGGCTTTTCATTTGAGGACCACTTTTCTGAGTGGTTCTGTCTCCCCGGAGCCAGCGATATTGGCTCTCAGAGCCCTGCCTCACCCTCTTCCCGTAGCTCCACGCTCTGCTTGCCTGACTGCTTGTTTTCACTTTTTCTGGGCGTTTGGAGGGGACTTTACTAAATCATCCTGGCAGGAGTGAGTCAGCATGGACCTGCGGTGATTCATGCCCCCTTCTGGGATAGCTCCTTGTTTGCTTCATTTCATTCCTACAAGTGGGTGCTCTGTGCAGATCTTGCCGAAAAGGGGGCAAGGAATGAGAAATAATTCCTTGAGAAGGAAAACTCAAAATGCTTTCTATCAGTTAGGGTCTGTTCGGATTTCCCCAGCCTTTTCCTTTGGACTCATGAGATCGAGCTGATGCAATTGCTTGTGAGGAAGCTAGGTTGGTTTGGACTTTCAGGCGTACAAAATCATCTTGTCCTGTGCCCACACCTCAGCTGTGGGAGCCCTTGCTGTACCGAGTGGGTTCTCAGGCCAGCAGCATCAGCAGCAACTCAGTGCCTGCTAGAGATACAGAATGTCAGGGCTGTCCAGCCCTTTTATGTGAATCAGCTTTCTCGTGGTGGGATGAAATACCTACATTCGCAGCGTAAAGGAGGAGGTTGATTTTGGCTCACAGTTTCAGAGGTTTTGGTCCATGACTGGCTCCAAGGTAGAAATGTCATGACAGGGGACAGCTGCTCACCTTACGGCAGCCAGGATAGAGAGCCAGAGAGAACAGGATGGGCTGGAGGAAGAACCCACCCTGTGAGCATGGAGATCAAGTTCTCAGTGTGTGAGTCTTTGGGGCATACTGCATACTTGTTGATTTATATTGGTACTGCAGAGTGAACTCGGGTCCTCGCACTTGCAAGGCCGGTGGCCGAACCACTGAGCTAAATCCCAGGCCCCATAGTGCATATTAAGTCATAACCGTCGTGAATCAGGTCTTGTCCTTCCACAGGATCCCTAGGACATCGGTACCCATTCCTGTGGGGCACTGTGAGAAGCAAAGGGGCTTCTGGGATGATCATCTCCATGGACTTCTCCTCACGGCCCTCTGCGAAGGAACAGAAATAAACTGTGTCCTTCTGAAAGAGGCAATGAGGAGCGGGCCCCCGGTGGAATTCAGGTCTTGGCCACCCCTGAAACGTACCCTGGGCTCTGTGTGTTCCATTGCTAATCTTCTTGAACGCGTGGAGTGCCAGATTGCCAGCGTCTCCCCGTCCTCCTGCCCTCCCCAGTTCGGAAGGGTCCCTGCAAGAGGGAAGAGGCAGGGGGAAGGGTGGAAATAACTGAACCTCTTAAGCTCACTCTGGGACCCCGGTGTGTTCTGTGTGCCAAGCTCCAGGCCCTGGGGACTCACATCTTCTCACTGAACGTTTTGTGGGGGGCCAGGAGAAGCTTTCTGTGCACCTCCTCATTCCTTCTCTCTGCTCCCCGGCAGCCCCTGGATCAGCCTCTCCCAGGACTCACCCACTCCCTCACTGCAGACCCCTGGCCTCCGCCTGGCAGACCCCTCCCCTGCAGATGTAGTTTCTCGCCGGCTTTCGGAGACTCCACCCTCAGGGTCTTTCCCTGGGCCTTCAGGAGCCAAGACGGCCGGGTCGCCCAAGCCTCGGTGCGTCCTGTGGTTAGAGTGGCTTCCAGGGCTGCGACAGGGCTCGGTCCCGGAACCTTGCGGTCACCAGGAGGGCGGGGCCGAGACCCCTGGCGGCGCGGGTGCTGCTGTCCATGGTCTCTACCACCCAGCGGCCGTTTCACAGCTCAATCAGAAAGATCTCAGGGGTTCTCTGCCTCCTTTTTACTCGTAGTACAACAGAACGTCAGATCAGGATGTCCCTTTGGTAATCTCCTCTTGGGATTTGTTGTCATTTGTGCTGTTTTTTTTTAGCGAATTCACGTTGCATATGGTGCGCAACATGCAAACCGGATCACAGTAGAGCTGGTCTCTTTGGGCTTGGACCGTGCACTCTGCTCTTCACAGGCCCTCTGGCCACCCCTTTCCCCACCTGGTTTCTCTCTTCACCTCCCACCCTGACTTCGATCAGTGAGGAAACAGCACCTGTCAAACACCATTGGCTAAAAATGACCAACACTTGGTAGCTTAGTAGCAGAAATGCCAGGATGAGAGCAGCTTCTTGCACAGCTGGATCCTGACACCCAACTACTAGCCACAGAAGTCTTTTCCCTTCTGTCGCCTGTTTCTTCTCGTGTTAGCTTCATCCTTGCCTTTGCAGCCCCATACAGCTGGGTAATCGGAGGACCAGGCAAAGGAGGGCTGGCTGGCTCAGCAGTTCAAGTGCAGGTCTTACCTCCTGGGGGTGCTTTTGCCTGACAGTGTGGTCCAGCCGCTGCCAGGAGCCAGTGTGGAGGCCGCAGCAACCTAGCACTGCGCTGACAAGGATGAGGCCTGGAGACTTGCGTGCACCAAGTGCAGCACTGCCATGAGGCCATCTCTGGGGTACTCTGTGCAAACAGTTTCTTTGGCTGGAGGTGCTCGCTGCGTCAGCCACATTCTCCACTTCCGATCCTTTGATTGCTCTTGGGAAAAGTAATCATGATTTTGCTGGGACTGAAAGAGCAGTGTGGTGGAGAGGAAAAGTCCTAAGAACCGTCCTGTGTATTTATGACACTTCAGTAAACACACACAAATAATACAGCCTAATGAATCTTCAGAAATGAGTCCAGAAATAGAGTGCCCAAGATGAGTCCCAGAGCCTCTCTTATGCCAACTAATGGAGCATTTAATGATAAAGTCAGAGCTTGGCAGGTGCTAGATTCTTACTTGCCTTACAAGATTCGCTGGCAGCACTTTTTAGTCTTAGATGGGCATCGCTTGGATTTCTCCTCAGTGATTCTTTGTTCTGATGAATGAGCTGAAAGTGGATGATGGTTCTTTGAGAGAGGTCCTGGGTGCCAGGGGCGAGATGCCCAAGGGTTTGCTCAGAACTAGTGTTACATCCTGGGGGGAATCAGCTACTGTGCTGAGTTCTTGGCTTTTATTCTCTGTGCTCCCAGCCCTCCCTACCCCCTGTACTGGGGGTTGAACCCTGGGTCTCACTCATGCTCGGTATCTTGGTTACTCTCTCATCACTTAGACACAATCCCGGACACCCACAACTTAAAGAAGAAAGGTTTCTTTTGACTAACACTTTATAGAGGTTGTGGTCCATAGTCGGCTCCAAGGCAGGGCAGTGGGGCAGCAGGGCATGGCAGGGAGACTTGTTCCTGGCATGGCAGGCAGGAAGCAGAGAGAGGTCGAGCAGAGAGAGATATACCTTTCAGGCCACACCCCCAGTGATTCACCTCTCCTGATCAGGCTTTGCCTCGCAAATCACATTTAGTTATAAACCCATCAGTGGACTAATCCACTGATGAGTGTCACATCCCCAGGATAAGTCAGTACCCCAAGGCCCCACCTGTGGGTGCATGATGCTCTGTGGACATCTAGATAGAAACCTTAACACTGGGTAACTGGTCTACCCTCACCGAACTACATTCCCAACTCTTACTTGCTTTTTAAGAGAGCCTTGAACCACAGCTACAAAGTACTTGTTAGTAACCCATTTTACAGATGAGAAAGTTGAATTTCTGTGATCATGACAGGGCAAAGAGGAGACACAGTGCTTGAACACAGGTCTCTCTGACTCCACAGACAAGGCACTGTGGGAATCAAGACACACCTCTACTTCCAAACTCCACGGTCACAGCTCCATGCTTACATTTGGTGAATGAACCAGTGCCATTGCCTCTCTGCCTATTTTCACTTTAGCCCATATCCTGGTAAAAAAATTGAGAGATGTCAACAGTGTAGTAAGTTCCCCGACAGAGGCATCTGTGGGGGCTGGTTCCTTTGCCCCTGGCTCTGGGCAGTGGCCTGTATCAGAGTAACATACAAGCCCTGGCATGTGCTGCTTTCTGTCCTCCATTACCAGGCTGTTTCACCTAGTTCAACAGCACCTTTTCCTAAGCACTATTTCCAGGCATTGTGATAGACACTTGCATATGTGGCCTATGCAGTGTGTAAAAACCAAAAACAACAGACTGCCTCAGAAACTTCCAGAAGGAAGAAGGTGGAAACCCCCATTTTACAGCAGAGCAGTCGAGGCTCCTGGAAGTGAACACTAGCTTGAGGATTCACAGCCAGGTCTGGCCCCCAAATCTTTTCTCTTTCTGATGCTGCAGCCCGGACTTGGGGGTCCTTCCTTGTGGGTTTTATGTCTCTCTGAGCACTTAAGGAAGGTGCATTCTACACATGTGTGCTGTAACCCAGAGCGCTGGTGACCACTCTCTTACCATCCCTCTCTCCTACTCACTAACTGGGTTGAGGACTTAACCTCTGCAATCCAAAGGTTCCTATCTCTGGGGTAGGAGCTCACAGTGCCTAGCTGGTGGGGTTTTGGTGAGGATGAAAGGAGTTAACATATCTAAGTGCTCAGACTGTACCTGTGCACAGCAAACACCGGATGACATCAGATTAACTTTAGTCCTATAGAGGTGTTTGTAGATGCAAAATGCTGAGCTCTTCGGTAGAAGTATTTTTGTTGTTGTTGTTTTGTTTTCTTGGTTTGGTTTGGTTTTTAATTCTGTACTTCGTCATCTGGTTCTTAGCAGTTTCCAGAGCTACACCAGCTCCAGCACTGCCCATGTTCACATACAGTAGGTGACATCCCCAAGCAGGGATGACGGGGAGGAACTTCCGGCTCCCGGGGAGTTGAGGTTGGTGTTCTGTAAGGGTGATCAGTGTTTGCTGGTGTAGGTGACTCCCTGAGCTGGGTGTGTGTGTGTCACAATCCCTGGCTGAGGGGATCTGAACTCGGCCTCTGGTCCCCAGACGCGGAAGGTACAGTGAACGGGCTGCTGTGCTGAACTCCACGCCGGCTGCCGATTCTCACCCACACCACAGACCATGGTGCTCTCTATCATCTTGGTTGGAGTTGCGCTCAGATTTGAGTGTGAGTCCTCACGTGTGCATCGGACCCCTTTTTAGAGATTGGTTTTATCTACCAAGCACTGCTTTCTAGTTGGAGAGATGGATAAGAATCCAACAAATAAACGAAAAAATATGCAACAGCAGTAAGATCTGTGATAAAACAGTGGCACAGGCATGACTGAGGTCATTCCCTTGGGGAAAGTCATCTCTGGGGGTCTTGGGTGGAGAATGTGTAATCAAAGGCGCCAGTCACAGGAAGATTGGGGAAGAGACTTCGGACACAGGAAACAGAACCCACAAAGGTCCTGGGGCAGGAATGAGCCGGGCAGACCAGAGTCCGCTAAGCAAGGAGGGGTTGTGCACGGGAGAGCTGGGAAGTGGCCCGCTGAGTTGCTGGGGTTCAGAATGCGACAGGAGACGCTGAGGTGTGCTCTGCTCTGCTTCCTGGTTTTCAGTGATGCCCTGGCCACCGTGTGGAGAACAGATGTGGATCTGAGGTGGGTTCTGGCCAGGGAGGCCAGCGGCTGCTTTAGCTCCCAGCTGCACTGAAAACCAGCCCCAAGACCAGCTCACACCAGGACTGCAGGTGCTGACTCCCCAGATGTGAAGGTGGGGGTGAGAAGGGAGTGTCACATAACTAAAGGATGAAAATCATGCCGTGCTTTTATTTTCCCTAATTAGGTATTTTCAGTGTGTTTTATTACCAGGGGTGGGTGGGTAGGGCTAGAGTTGGCCAACCCACTGTATTTGACCAGGCAGCAGAAGTCCTGCTTTGTATGGGGCGGGCACCCCGCGACAGAGGGAAATTCGCATTTTCAAACTTGACCGCTGGGGGCGCCCCAGGCCCACTCAAGACGGGGTGTGAAGGAAGCGGTGATACCCCATTTCAGGGAAGTTTCCTGAGAAATGGATGCCAGGGAAAGGGTCTGTGGGCTGTAACTTACTTCTCCCATGCCTTCCACCCCGGCCACCTGGTGTCCTAGGAATATTTTAGCACATAACGATGAGCTGGCCCCTCTGATTTTAGTAACCTCTTTCTGGACTCTGCAGCAAACACCTGGACAGTACATTGAGGAGATGGGCAGCAGGGGCTCCCCGGGCAGTGCATGCCCCGGGCCATCTGGATCCCACCCAGCTGAATTCCCAAAGAAAAGCCCCTAACATGTCTTTGTTTTCAGCTGCTTCCTCTGCAAAATTAAGGGCAACGACACATCTTCCTTGTAGAGCTATTACAGGGTCCAAGCAGCTATGCCTGTGAGGTGCTGCTCATGGTTCTGGCCTGGGGTCAGGGGTCTCTGCAGACAAGTACTTCACATCAGGAACCTCTGAAAGTCCTCTATGACAGCTCCACTTAAAATGTGGTCCTCAACCCTGGAGCAGTGGTGCGTGCCTGTAATCTCTGCTAGTCAGGAGGCTGAGGCAGGAGGATTGCAAATTTAAGGCAAGTTTTGGTAACTTAGTGAGAGTCTGTCTTAAAAAATAAAAAGGTCTGGGGGTGTAGTTCCAAGGTGGACTACTGTACTTGCCTAGCAGGTGTAAGGCGCTGGGTTGAGTGTCCAGTACCAAAGGGGAAAAGAATAAAGGAAGAAACACAGAAAGAAAGTTGTCCTCCGATGAGAAGCTGCATCCCGAGGAGCCAGGCTCTCCCCTGGGCAGGGCTCCTGCCGGGCATTCTCCACAGCCACTGAGCCCTGGGACTCAGTTTCCTCATCCATACCATGGCATGTCTCTTTTAGGGGTTTGGTGCTAGCATAAAATGAAATAATGCGGGATCTGCTGTAAAAAGGAGAAAAGTAAGTTACTTTCCTCTCATTTACACGGAAAAGGGATGCCATAACTCCAATCAATGCTAACACAGTTTCCAAAGAATTTGGTTTCCCCTTTTCCACACTGACTTGCTGAGTGGCAGTGGCTCAGTCTTACTATTTGGATGCCTGGATTAAAGTGATGAGGGGTGGCAGTGGTGTAGGAACCCAAACCTAGTATTTTGGAAAACTAAATGGGAGCTTTTGGTAGCTGGGCTAAAAGGCATTGATCGCCCTAGAAAAGACTGGCTCTCTGATGAACGGAGCTATTTGTGCTATGGGCAGGACCTCAGGGTGACGCCAGGTGGTGTAGCAGTGTGACTCACATTTAGCAGCCACAAAACATTTTATTATTTCCAGACATCACAAGAAACAAGTGGCTTTGTTTATATGGGCAGAGATTCTTCACCGCCCTCCCCACCCCATCACAAGAAACAGTTGGTTTCATATGAGTGGAAACTCGGCAAGTACACCCCACTCCCCGATATATTTCAACATAAGAGAAACACACACTGGTACAGCAAAGACAGAGCCCAATACACAGATTCACGGCAGTGTGTGTGTGTGTGTGTGTGTGTGTGTGTGTGTGTGTGTGAAATGCAAGGAATCCAGGCCAAGAAAGGACCTGCTGGCTGCTCCCAGAGTCCTGCCAGACACAGCCCTGGCCCAGCGTCTAGCCCTGTGCTCACAGGAAGGAATTGCTTTATTCCACAAGGCAGGAATGTGGAGGACAGCATCACCCAACTCTCCAGAAAACTTCTCCTTCTCAAACAGTGTTGACTTCATCATGTGACGGAGTTACAGTTACTCTGAGCAGAAAAGAGCTCCCGAGGAAGCCACAGGGTAGTTCTGCAGTTTCTCAAAGTACAATGAAACAGTTTCTTGAAACCATATATATCCTCCCACCTATGAGAGATCCTCTCTTGTTTTAAGAGCAGTAAAAGAACAGTAAGAAAAGTATCTTCATGTTTTGAAAAAAAGTAACATATACCTGGAAATTGCAAGGTCTTAAAATACAAGACCACCACAGTTATATTCTGACCACCCGTAGCGCTTTCTCTTTTTCAATAGATTTTGAAAGCTACCTTAGATTTCATGCACAGACGACCACGGCACAAGTGGAAGGGGGTGTCACCACCCTGCTGTTCTGGAAGCTGCACTCGCACAGGGGTGGGAAAGGGGGAACAGCATCTCATCGTGTTTTCCACAAAGGCTTAGACTGCTGTAAGTAAACAAATAGGCTAGAGGGTGGATCTTTCACGGAATAAGCACAAAGCTACCTGGGCAGCCGGCAGCTGGAGGGCTGAGCTAAGAAAAAACTTTGTTTGCAAGAGAGTTGAGCCCTCTTCCTGTTCCCCAGGCCCCTCCAGCCCTGCTGACTGGGCAGCCAGAGACGCGAGAGGCGGACAGTGGCACCGCAAGCCCTGGGGGAGGGGTGACGCGCGGGGGTGGCCTCACCGGGGAGTGAAGACCCTCCCTGCCCCTCTCCCCCGCCTGTTCTCTGCCTCTTTCCAAAGATCGTCGTGGCTGGGGACACACTTCTCCCTCTCCCGGGAATGCTGCTTTTCCTTTCTAAGCGTCGTGGCCGGGTGTGGAGCCGGAGGGGCCCCCCGGCGGCGACGCTCCCGGCCCTGACCTCCGCCCTAGCTCCAGCTCAGGCCGGCGCAGCAGCAGAGGATCTCCTTGAAGGTGTTGCGGAGCTCCAGGCTGCGGAAGGCGTAGATGAGGGGGTCGATGACGGAGTTGCACATGATGAGGACCAGGTAGGTGTTGAAGTGGGCGGTGTAGCAGATGCAGTAGGGGTTGGTGGGGCAGGCGATGATGAGGAGCAGGTGGAGGAAGAAGGGCGCCCAGCAGAAGATGAACACGCCCAGCAGGATGGTGATGGTGACGGCACCCTTCATGCACGAGTGCGGCTGGGGGGCCGCGCCGGCAGCGGGGGGCAGCGCGGCGATGCGCTTCACGTGCAGCCGCGCGAAGAGGAACATGTGCACGTAGAGGGTGCCCATGAGCAGCATCATGGCGAGGAACATGGTGATGAGGCACACGATGACCATCTTGCTGTCGGAGTAGATGATGAACACCACCCCGCAGACGCCACAGCAGCCCCAGATGCCGGCGATCAGAGCCAGCGCCTTGCGCGCCGTCATGATGCTGTGGTAGCGCAGCGCGTAGAAGATGGTCACGTACCTGTCCACGGCGATGGCCAGCAGGTTGCAGATGGAGGCCACCAGGGAGATGCAGGTCATGGAGTCGAACACATTGTCCATGTGGCGCACGAAGCGGTCCTCGAGGCGCAGGTGGTCCCCGCTGACCACGGCGATCATGACGGTCTCCAGCGCGTTGGACACGCTCACCAGCATGTCGGCCGCGGCCAGGCTGCACAGGAAGAAGTACATGGGCGAGTGCAGGTTGCCGTTGCGGACCACGGCCAGGATGACCAGGACGTTTTCCAGCAGGCTGACGGCGCCCAGGGCGAGGAAGACCTCGGGCCGGATGAAGACCTGCTCGCAGAAGGCGCCGCCGCTCTGGTTGCCCGGGGAGGGGGCCGCGCTCATGGCTCGG